TGGGCATTTATCTCTGATTTTTCACTAAACCCAATCACCTCATTTCCCAGATGTGTAAAACCCAGCCTTTCCCAACCAGGTTAGAGGGCAACATCTGAGATGATCAAGCTATATGAGGAATGGTTAAATAAGCTATCAATGATTGCCCTGCAGAATAGATTAAAGGGAGATGCAACGGCAGCCTATGTAGGCAAATATTTATTTCCCCGTTCTGTGTTGGAATTGATAAGTACCAATGAAACCAAATAAGTTAGGAAATTCAGGTTCGGAATTTTTAAAAAGTTGCATGACAATCAGCTCATAAGCAGAGAAACTCTTTAGAACAGTGGCCTCCAAACCTTTAGGCACCAGGACCTGGTTCCATGGAGAAAGGTTTTTCCACAGACCAGTGAGAGTATGGTTTTACATTCTGCCTGCATCCAGCAGATGGGACATCTCTTGTTTGCGTGGACCAGTTCCTGGCATGCTGCAGACCAGTGGGGGTTCATGGACCAGAGGTTGGAGACCCCTGGTTTAGAACATTGGTGGACCCTCCTGGCTGGATGTTTTCAAGCAAGAGTGGATATTTGCTTGTCTAGAATGAATTCCTCTAATGGGGAGAGAAAGGCTGGTGTCAGACCTGCAGCCATATTTGCTTGTGGATATCAGGCCTGCCACACGTTCTACTATGCCTTTTCTATTGTGGGAAAATGGGAGGGGGGATTGTATGGAGTTAGATGATATGTAGCCAAAACAAAATTCTTTCTAGAAAGCCAAGGTCATCCTGTGTTTCTGTACCTCTGCACCTGACCGGAACTGGATGGGTGGAAGCTGCCAGTATGGCAATGGAAGATTGGACCGTGTGATGGGCTTGTGGGCGTGGGAGCAAGATCTTGAACAAAATCTTGATGGTAGAAGACAGGAAGGCCTGAAGGAACGTTATCCAGGGGGCCGCGATGGGTTGGACGTGACTTTGCAACTAATAACAAAAATTGGAATTTCATAGAGGTGATCTTTTTTTAAAATGGCTAAATACCTTTTAAATGCCTGGCAACTAAAATACCAGTCATTAAGTGAGAAAACCAACCGTTCTGGCTAAAACCGTAGTCTCTCTGATACCCAGGAGCCCTGGTGGCGCAGTGGTTAGAATGCAGTATTACAGGCCGATTCTGCCGACTCCCAGCAGTTCGAATCTCACCAGGCTCAAGGTTGACT